TTTCTTCTTAGTATCGAATTGTAACTCTCTAGTAATCAATGGAATGTAGCGCCAGTAATCGGGTATATTGTAGCCCAGAGAGATAAAAGCCTACTGTACAAAATGATATGGAAGCCATAATCTTTCTGGAAGCCTTTGTGGAAGTCGTAAATCCCGTAATAGACTGACCTCACATAAGCTAGCGCAAATTACAAAGTAGAAGTTATTATCCATCATATTGATAGCGGTCTTGCAATGGTTGAAGACATTTAGTTTAATAATCTTTGCCTGCCTTAAGAAACTAGAGCTTCAATTATTTCTTAAGATAAATTGAGCTATGTGACAGAGGTCTATGTAAAAAAAATTCGCCGAATATCTTAAAGATCGTGAATTATTTTAAGTTTTAATCCTGTAAATAACAAAATACCAGCAGTGTATGTTTTTTTTTTTTTTTTTTTTTTTTTTAAATGTTTAAACCGTTGTTTAGATCTGTATACTCATGTAACAAAACGTACTAATTTTCTGCAAAGGTATACAGTAAAACTTCGTTTAATCGAATTTCCAGTAATCGAAATCCAGTTTAACAGAAATCAGTTGAACCGCAATAGTGAAAAAAAAAATAACTTTACTTTTTACCAAAAATATGTAAGATCGAAAATAGCTGTCTCATTTTTTTATTGCATGTTTATTATTTCATTCTTTACAAATAAACGCATCTTTCTAAAGAAAAGGCATTATTGCATTATGTTCTATGCGAGATGTGAATTATTCTATGCGAGATGTGAATTATGTGAATTGTCAAAGAGGTAGCTTCGAGTATCTTCGTCCATTGAATGAAGCTATGTGCTTTAAAATATGCGTGATTGTGTTGAGATTTTCTGTAATAGAGAATAAAATAGCTCCAAATGAAAGCATTAGAAATTCCCGTAATTTTTTTTTTTAAGAAGTTTCTTATTGTTCATTCAGAGGGAAATTTTTGCCATTTGTTATTGAAATTTATCGAGTGGAGACAAAATTTTGAGAAGTTCATAGGAGAAGTTTTGAAATTGGAAATTTGGTGTTATATATGGCTTTATTTATGAGTTTTTGAATTAGAATTACTATTTATGAATTTTGTTTTATTTGAAAATCTATCATTTAATTCCACTGCTAATTTCCGTCATGCGTTTTTCCAACTTCAGGTAAAGAATGTTGGTTAAATCGATAACTGTGATGAATGTAAAAAATGCAGATAAATTCTTTAAGGAGATTAAAATGGAAACAAAGATTTTAAAAAGAAAATTAAGAAAATATGTTCTTAATAACAGTGATTTCGAAAATTGTGTGTTCCAATAAATAATTTCTATTTTTTCCCAAAATAAACTTGACGATGGGTTATTCGAAAGATCTTATTTGAAATGACTCCGTTGCCAGATAGCTTTCTTAGGCGAAAGATGATTCATTTCGTATCTGGTTAGTGTCTGCAAAACCAGCTGTTTTTCCTTGTCTCTTTAGGAACCAGATATGCTATATATATATTCGGTTGTAGCATTATTTCTAGACTTATAATCTATATGAAATAAATATTTTCACATCATGTTGAATTTTGTTTAAAAAAATTGAATTCGTGAGTAATTTATGGCACTAGCTCCACCACAGTGCTATTTTTATTATAAATGGTATGAGATTTTTCAAAAGAATGTGCTAAAAATTTTCTGTGTGCTTATTCTTAACTAACTCTCTATATATATGTATGTATTTGTCTTTTTGACTTACGTATAGTAAATTTTTTTTTGATGTGTGGGAGGAGGGCGGGAAATGTTTTTTCCAGTTTATTTTTTTTATGTGATCTTCCGATTATTAACTTTTTTCTTTATAAAAATGTTTTCTTCCGCTGTTTGTCATTCTGTATGATTCTATTTCGGTTTCTGCTTTGTTATTCATTTGGTTTAAAGTAAAAAGCTGACACGTTTATGTTGTTTTTATTGCATATTTGTTCCGTTATTGTCATTGTAGGATTTTTATGTTAATTAACTACTTATTATGATTTTAAATTTTTGCTAAAACTTCTTTCCTTAGTCCTCACAAGAATGCAAACTAGGAGTTCGAGCGTCTAGCAGCCTTGCTTGCAGTTACGTATTATCGCCAAGCTCTACTACTTTATTCCGGTTTCAGCCATGTAGCTAACCGACTTTAAAAGTGCACCGTTAATTACTTGAGCCAGCTTAAGTAAACTATCTTGTGTGTAGTCTTAAAGCACGTAATTTAATTTGCATTTAAGTTTATGTTATTGTAAGTAGCTGCAAGTGGAGGAGGTTGGTTTGTAGCACAAGTAGTGTTTTTTTTTTTTTTTTTAAGCTTCAAGAGTTAAATAAAAAAGTTAATTTTAATCGTTGTAAGATTTTTGTCATTTTCTTCAGACTAGAGCTGCAACTTGTCTGTCAGTCTAGTAGGGTTTGGAAGATTTGAGTTTCTATAGAAGCAAATTCTACAACAGGTGCCCTGTCTTTTGTATTCATTCAAAATCTTCTTTTTGAGTTAAATGATATTTCTGTTTTTTGCAATGAAATGCAAGAAAAGAAGAAGTATATTAGAAACATCTGTCACAAATTTTATAATGATACTTGCGCCTCTTATTTAAGCTGTGTGCCGAATAGCGGCACTGATGTTTGTTAATTTGGTAATGAAGCTTTTCTTATTTTGGGCAAAATTTTGCATATGGCTTGTTAGTAAGATGATTATCGGGGGAAGGGGACAAAATGTTTATCCATATTGGTGGGATTAAAAAAATACTTAAAAAGCTTTCGATTGAGCAATTACTGAATATTGACCTCCTATCGCAATAATGTAAATACGTGAATAATACAGGGTGGTCATAAAAAAAAAAAAAAAAAAAAAAAAAAAAAAAAAAATTCTCGATATATGAACCCCTGGCGGGCCCGCTCAACCGGTTGAAATGAAATTTCAAATACTGTGCTCGAGAATTGTGATTATTTAAAAGACTAGAGCTCTCAATATTTCGGTAGCAGTGAAGGCGTTGTAACGATAAATATGTGACAAACAGTTTTGTCATTTGAGAAAACAGCAACGTAAAGGATCACTGACAACATAAAAGAGGAAAGGGAAAAAACTTTTTTTTTTATTGAAATTTACAATTTTCAACGTGCCCACCTTCGCAGCCGATAATGCATTCTATGCGTAAGACTGTCGACAACAATGATCAATATAACATCGCAAGAGGAATTTGTGCAACTTCACTTTTTATGGCATCTTTCGATTCTGATGTGGATTATCCTTGGAGTGGGGCGGGAAATTGCATACGAAGCTGCCAATTCGGAGCTGTCTCTGTCTCCAAAGTGTCGTTGCAGCATTTGCTGAACGCATGGTGATGTATGGAGGAACACCATCTTGGATCCATACAATGTCGTAATCGACATTTCGCCGCTTCAATTCATGGATTACGTAATTCAGCAATATTGTTGTATACCGAACAACTTGTGATGGAATGTGCTTGTGAAGCTGCTCCACACAGTCACTGTAACTTCAGGTAACAGCGCTGGTGTCATAGTGTTTGGATTTTTGTCAGCCCAGTGAACGCAGTTCGTGGAGTCAACGTTCCCAGTTAAGGAGAAATGCGCCTCATCCATCCAGCGGTTGCCTGCTATATTCATCATATCTGATGAGGAAAACCATTAACGAATTCGCCGCCATGGAATCCATAAGGAAACATCCATAGAATTTGAGGACTATGGTTTTCGTACATCCAAACTTCGGGCAACACTTCTTGCAGTATGCAATGGACCTATAAATTATATCTATTTTAAAGAACACATGGTCGTCCGGATCGCAGTCTATCGCATGTGCGCCCAATTTCTTGAAAATTTCCTGTGAAATCACGTACAGTTTTTAAGAAACATGGGCTTTGGCTTAATCTTAGCTTATGATTTCGCCGAAGTTATGCAAAGTGCGTCGTCAAGTGTACCACCTCTGTGTTTTGTTATTGGTCCTATCATACGTGTATTGCTCTAAGCCATTTATGGTTTTTCTATGCGGTGATCAATTTGCGCAGGAAAAAGTGAGTGTTTTCATTGTTTTTTTTTTTTTTTTTTTTTTTTTTACTGTAACCGTAACCGTGAGAGCTCTATTCTTTTAAATAATTTCGAGCGAATGCTTTCAAATAACAATATCTTAAATTTCATTTCGATTGGATGACCGTATAGGCCGCTGGTGGTTCCTATACTGAGAACGTTTTTTTAATAACAACCCTGTATATTTCGGCTTTAGAATACAAAAGTTACATACAGCTAGCCCTCTCTAAAACGATCATCCACAGTTCCTCCTCGTTTAGGTCTTTTATGAAGGGCATAATTTTTTGGAGATGTTCAGTACTGATGTTTGTTTATATTCTCGGAAATGCTACTTTCTTTCACATAGTTCGTTGGTCTGAGGACGCTTTTAATAGGAGTGAAATAATTTTCCCCATTTAATTTTTTAATATATAAGAAGAACGGTAATACATCGCTAAGATTCTGGATTTGAGAAAAATGAAATGTTTAACTGATTAATTATGATATTGTAATACTTGCTCTTAGTGCTTATAATTTTTATACTGTACATATTTGATTAAAGTTCATTTTGATAGTGTGTGAAATTTAATGTTGTTCTTCTTTAAGGTGGTTTTTGTAACTTTGTGTCATTTAATGCTTATGGTTTATCAAATACCTGAATAAAAATGAAATTGTGCTTTCTCTTTATTATCATCGTTTATATTGTGTTCTAGTTTTATTTTCATATTCATTGTTATTTATTTCGATAGCTTGTTTTTGATAGATGTCAGAAAAATTTCTGCGTTCATCGTTGTTAAAACGGCCACGGTTTTTAGTAGTCAAAATTGGCAAACTTAAGCTCTCAAATCTGTTACTTGAAACTTCAGATATCATTGAAAACTTAGCGAAGGCCGTTTTAACAAGAAAGTATCGTTTTCTGAGCCATACAGAATTATCTACTTATCATATATTTTTATATCTGTTATGAATTCGTAGGTTTTGCAAGCTGAAGTAAGCCAGTGGAAAAGCGCTGTTGAAGGAGTTACACGGACCGCACATAAAATTGCCGCTGATTGCCCGCACGATGATGCAAACAGACTGCGAACCATTGCTGATCGTATCAATCAGAGATATACAGAACTTGCCATCAGGTAAGGCTTAAATCAGATTTTTTTTATTCCATTGTATATCTCATGTTGCATTGATTACTTTTAAAGAAAAGGATACTTCCTTGTTCAAACAGCCATTGCAAACGCTTCTGCGAAATTTTGCAACATTTAAAATTAATTTGACGAAAACTACAAAAACACTGTAGTAGCCTTCGAAAAACAAAAAACTTCGATGTGTCGGAGGGAGACAGCATTTATTTACCTTCATGGAGGCCATAATTCAGCAATTGATGTAGACTAAAATATTGGTACCCATATTTAATTATGTATAGTACCATCTGATTGAAATTAGTATTCCACTCAACAGTATATGAAGTTCAGTGCAATAAGCAAAGGAATCTTGGAGCTAGGAAACAAATTATTTGCATGAAGATGCACCCCTCTCTCAATGTAACTATTTCCATCTATTTTATCTGCCAATAAAATGGTAACCATTTCTTCACTTTCATTCAATATGCAAAATTTTATTATTTTAAACCAAAAACCAGTGGGGTTTTTACAGTGAAATAAATACAGTTAATATTTTAAAGGAAAGGAATCTGAAGAAACAAATGATATCACGAAAGAACTTCTGCTTATTTTCCACTTGATGAACAGTTAAACATGGTGCATATTTTATAAGAAACAAAAAGTAATGGAGGAGTCATATCCCATGATCTAAAGTGTGCATGATAACCAAATATGTTGCACATTATCAGTAGTATTGAAAAAATATTGTTTCTTTTCTAATTACTAATAAATTACAACTAGTAAACATTTTAAAGAAAAAAAAATTATAAAGTATTTCTCCCGCCTTCTTAGCAAGCCTTTGTGGTGTAGTGGTCTGCATGCTCAGCGCGTAATTGAGAGGTCTGTGGTTCGATTCCCGGCAAAGGAGTTGCTAATTTTTCATCTTGCCTGCTTCCAAATAATCCTAATGTATCTACAATTTAATCACTGATATCACATGAACAGTTTTGTAATCAGATCTGTTCTAAAAGTTAAATCGTTGCATATTAAAAATGCACTGATTAAGTTTGTTAGTTCTGCTGACTAATTGGCAATTTCAACTGTTAATCGAGGTAGCTGCTTTAACAAAGAAGTACCAAGGAGAGGTTCCAAATTAAAATTTTTGTTCAGTTTCGAGAGAATTTATACGAGTCAGGTCTTTAAATTCCTTATAAATGCAAAACGCAGACATGCCACAATTGAATTGAATTTTATACTTTAAATAGTTTGTATTAACATTTCAAGTTGAATTTAGAAGTTTCGTGTTTTAAATTTTTAAATTGTACATATTGAATGGTAATTGCCTTATCTAGATTGACAAATGTCCTGTTTACGAAATCTATCTTTATGAAACTCAAGCCATGCCTAAGCACTTGGGCCAAGGTCCTATCTCAGTCAAACATTTGATTTTGATCTTAATCGAATTTCACAGTTTTTCTGGGATACCTGGTGTTAGCTTTTTATTAAGAGAAGCTTATAATTCAACAGTTTTTTTCATAGAAGTACTATAGATATATTAGATCTTTTGTGCTATTTTTTAATTGGACTACATAATAACAGGATTACACTTTTCTCTGGACTAATGGAAGAATTGATTTAAAAAATCTGCTACAGCATAGCTAATAATTTCAATAAGATAATAATTATTTTTTTTAATATGAACTTCAGGTTAAATTATTTCAAAGAAAACTTTCTGGTAATCCTCGTATACAGGAATGAGAATATTATTGAAATATTTTTTGTAATTGTAATCTATACTGTAGTCTTAGTATTATTTCTTATTGTTGATTAAGAACTATAAAGTTGTCAAATCCTTTGTTTTGACAGATTTTGTATATTATATTCATTTTTTCAAATTAAAGTAATGAATGAAAGTTAATTTTCAGGCATTATTTTTTCATAATTTAAAAAAAACAACTAATTTCAAATGAAAACATTTTTATAATTTCAGTAATATTAAAAGAAAAATTCAAAATGCATCATTTGAATAAGTTTACTAGCTTTAGTGTTAAATAAAATATTTAATAGGAAATTCAAAATCCATCACCTGAGTATAGTTTTATTCTTAAAATCTTCTGCCGAGTGTGCCATAAATTACACATATTGAAATTTGTGTAAGTCTGTCAGCTATCAATTTATTAGATAAATCTTCAGAGATCTTTTGCAATTCAAATAAATACTTTTTTTCCTTCTTCAAAACAAAAAATCTCTTTGCAAATCTGTGAAAAGATTTTTTTCAGATCTTTTCAATTCAAATAGATACTTTCAGTGTTGTCTGAATCACGCTTTTAATTTTTTATTCATATTATCTGTATATTTTAGTGTGCAGTCACGAGGAAAAGCACTGTTAAATGCTTTGAATTCCCTACAACAACTGGACAAAGCTCTAGACCGATTTCTTGCATGGTTGTCAGAGACAGAATCTGCATTAGAATTACTTGAAGCTGAAGAAGAAAAGTATGGGCCTAGAGATGATTTCCATCGGTCTCGTGGGTGTCATGAACAGATCAGAGTAAGTTGAAAACGTATAAAATTTTTACGAATCCATGATTATCTTCAACTTTCCAGTCCTGTGTAGCTTTTTGGAAGTCTTTCAGTTTTAAGGTATGCTAGGCTATATTTATATCTGTGAGCAAGTACAATATATAAATGCTGGATAATTAGGATGGGATGTTTCCAACCCCAGTCTACCAATGCACAGTTTAATGATATTCTTAATTGAATGTTTGCTTCCATATTGCAAACTAAAACATATAAAATTAGTTCCAAATTATCACAAGTTTAACAATTGATTCCCTCAGTTTAACGATAACATTTTAGAAAATTCAGTATCTTCCAAAATTGGGAATTCGTCAGTCTTGTTTTCAGGAACAGGATTTGTTGGGCGTAGTAGTTTCCAACTGTAACAGAAGAAGGATGTTAAAGGACTGGTTAACAGTGTAGTTGAAATCGCTTGACTAAAGAGAACTAATAAAGTTCAATGTAAGAATTATTCAAGTATACCAAAACCAACAAAAATGTTTCCTTAGTTTTTATTTAAATATGATAATATTTCATATTGTTACAAAATGTACAGGCACGGTAAGATGGCTTCCCTGCAAAGCAGTTTTAGCATTGCCATAATATTGCAAGGAAGGCAGGGTTGTCACATTTGGCAAGAAATCGCCCATTTGGCGACAAAATTGGCAATATGCCATGGACGGATGGAGAACCTTCTGGAACGAATTCTTACCGGTTTAGCCTAGAATGTTCCCAAACACAAGCCGAAAGCTATATAAACCCTGCTGGTCCACAGTCAGTTGTGAGTGTCTTCGAGAATGCCTCGTCGAGAGGGCGAATGAGCATCTCGTCTAGAGTTAGCCAGTCTGTGTTAGTGTCTAGTTAGTGCAAAACCAAATTAGTGTCCTAGTTAGTGTCTCGAGTTAGCCAGTCCGTGCAGAGTCGATAGAGTTGACAGCCGGGCAGCGAGTGCACCGAAGGAGTCTCTTAGTGTATTGCGGTTAGTGCATCGTCGAGAGTATGTGTTTAGCTCCTGGAACGACTGAACGGAAGAGTCGGGAGCTGTGCTCTGTGTGTCATCGAGTGCATCGCGAGTTGTGGCGTGGAGAGTCTCGAGAGTACGTGGAGTTCCGAGAACCACAGAGCAGAGTCGGAAGCTGTACTCTGATGCTTTGCAGTGAAGCTGTCTCCACCGTTATTGCCTGACAGTGTGAAGGCTATGTTGCTGATTGTGTCAGCGTGTGTATAGTAGATCTTCGATGACTGTAAAAAGTGACTTTGGAGTTGTCCTGATTAATATTGGCTAAATAAAGCGTGTTTCGATACTTCATCATGAAGTGTCATCGTTATTCACTGCAAATCCACAGGAACCCCGTACTTATGTGAAGGAAGAAAATAACGTAACTACTTTTGTCAGAAGAAAAAGAAAAACGCAACAATATTTTATTTAATATTCTTAAATACTGATTTAAGAATGGTGAATGCACTAAAGAAAATCATTAAAGTAGGGATAATGGTTTTGTTAGTTCCTTAAACCTACTGTAAATTGCCAAATGATAAAATTTGTTTTTGTGAATAATTTAGTTTTGTAATTAAAGAAAAGCTTATAATACAACTCAGCTTCTTCTAAATCTTAGAACAGTACTGAACATAGCATTATCTAAATTAGTGAATGTATTTAATTGGCTTGTCCATTTTGCAAACTCTGTTGAGTATTTATATTTAACATTGAAGTATTACAAGTGCTTCAACAGAAATGATTTCTCCAAAATTCACTAAATGTCATGAATCTTAATTTACAGTATTAATAGGTTTACATTAAATAAAGTTAATAAAACTGAAAGTAATGATGATGCAGGGAAATGTTACTTGTTTTAGAGCACTGAATGGAATTTTCACTAATTTTAGAAAACTCATAATAGAGATCTGTAATTACAAGAATAAACATTTTGTAATGTGCATGTTAGCAATGTCTTTTTTTTAATTACGATAACTCCAAATTCTTCTAAAATTCGTTAGGTGGATATATATCAAAAGATATATTTAAATAATATAATAAAGATTTTAATTCTTAAGAAATGCACTTAATACTAAGTATTCAGTTTGTTAAGCAGTTACAAATTGATTTAATGTGAAATATAAATTAAAGATGATATGTTTTACCAAATGGGAGCACTGAGGACTGATCATATCCAAGGAAGGTAATTAAAGTTATTATGTTCTACATGTCAGTAGCTTTAGCAAAGCAAGTGAATATATGCTTGATAGAATAATATGTAGTAGCATCAAAGTCAACCAACTGGCACTATAGTTTGTAAATTACTGAGTTTCCTCCAGGAAAGAAAACCCCAATATTGGCATGACAGATCAAAGCACACTTTTGCCTGGTAGTATGATGTTTGGTTTTTCATAGGCTTTAGTTTGATTCCTGAAGGTCACTTACCAAGTTTAAGGACATTTTTCATTATTTACTAACTGGTGCTGGCACAAGACAGTGGCAAGTGAAGCGAGCTAGATAATATTAAAAAAAATTTAATTGGAGCAATATTAAAATCCAAAGAATTTCTTTGTTTATAAGTTGAATTTTTCAAATTACGTTTATATATTTTCATACAGTTTTAGTTCATGGAAGATCTTGGGATTAAATTTTCAAATTTTTAACAAATTTTGTTACAGAAAGACAATAAATTTTTTCTTATCTGTACTATAGATAAAAGAGGTAAGAGAATAGTGGATATATAGCCATTTTGTGATTTACTAGCGGAATACTGGTGATGATCTTATAGGAAATTTGAGGCCAATTAAAAAAAAAAAAAAAAAAAACAGGAAAGAGGTAAATCCATATTATAATTAACAGAAAAGTACTATTAAGAATGTATCTATGTTTTAAAGAGTTTAATCTGGCAAATAAGCACATTTGCCTAAACAATGTTCTTATTCTTGCGCTTTGATAGAGGTCAGTATAAAAGAGAAGACTAATATCTCTGTGTACTTGATTTGTTTTTATGGTTTATTACTCTTGCATTTTGGTAGAAGTCATTATGAAACAGAAGACTTATATCTGTGTACTTTAGTTGTTTTTATGATTAAGCAATTGATCAATGTTTATGTATTACATGCAGCTAAATTATCTGTTGTTGCTAAAAGGAAGAGTTCCCAAATACTGTGAGATCAACTGCTACCACCACTTTTGTTTAATGCATGTTTCTTCTCCTTTCTTATACTTTCTGTAGTCTGTTTTATTTCATGCTAATAGATTTGGTTCTAATTTCTCCGTCATTTTGCAGTTAATAAATTTACTTTTTTAAACTTTTATCTTTATTTTTGTATCTAATTCTGCAGAAATTACTTCTTTGACAAACTATGTTTGTCTATTTTATTTTGTCTAAAATGTAAAAGTTATAATAATTTTCTAAAATATAAAAATTATAATAACAACATAGCCAGTAAAAGAAAAAGCTGAGCTGAGTAAAATTCCCAAAAAGGCCACAAAACTGTTTTTTTTTTTTAAATCATTTCATAACCAGTGTTTTCTGTAAAAACAGTATTGTTGATAAATAATAATATTGTTATGAAATGTACAGGTGTGGTGAGATAGCTTCCCCCCCCCGGCAAACCAGTTTTGGGGTTGCCATAAAATGGCAAGGGACGGCAGGGTTGCCACATTTGGCGAGAAATCACCCATTTGGCGACAAAGTTGGCAATGTGTGTGGACTGATGGAGAACATTCTGTAACGAATTCTTACTGGTTTAGCCCAGAATGTTCTCGAACACAAGCCAAAAGCTATATAAACCCTGCTGGCCCGCAGTCAGTTAGTGAGTGTCTCGCCTAGCGAGCTGACAGTCAGTCATTGAGCGAGTGTCTCGAAGTGAGTTCTGAGCCTGTCATCGAGTTCACCAAAGGAGTCTGTTAGTGCATCGTCAAGAGAGCGTGTTGAACTCCGGGAACGACTGAACCAAAGAGTCAAGAGCTGTGCTCTGAGTATCGTCGAGTGCATTGCGTAGAGAGTCGCGAGCTCTAGTGCTTTGCAGTGAAGCCGTCTCCACCGTGATAGCCTGATAATTTGCAGGCTATGTCGCTAATCGTGTCAGCGTGTTTATAGTTGTTCATGGACGACTGTAAAAACGTGTTTTGGAGCTGTCCTGACAATACTGGCCAATTAAGTGTGTTTCGATACTTCATCAAGTGTCGTAGTTATTAACTCCAAATCTACGAACGCCGTACAAATGTGAAGGAAGAAAATAACGTACCAATATTTTAAGTTCTGCAAAAAATAAGAAGACTGAAGAGAACTCTTGCATCAGACTTTGATCATTTAAACAATATTTCAATTTTTAAGAACTAAAAGTTAATCAGTATCTGTTTTAATATAAAGTAAAAAAAAAAAAAAAAGAACGAAAGGTTTCAGATTTTAAATTACGCCTAAAGGGACATTGTTTTAACCTCTTGTGTGTTACCTTTATTTATTAAATATCATGTTCTTTGCACTTAAACCATAAAATTTACTTCAAGAGCAATGTTGCAAAATAATTTTTAAATGAGCGTATCTTTAGAAATTCCGATACACAGTTCTGGGCCCGCTGGAGAGAAAAAGTTTCCCCCCCCCTGACGTAGAGTGTTGCCATTGCTCGCTTTTAAATCGCTGAGTTTGTTACTCAAAAATTCGTTAAAGTTTTACAAAATCGATAATAAAACAAATTCCAAATTTCAAATTTGGTCTTTGACATGCCCATATTCATAGAAGAATTACGTCATTCAAAATTCGATGGCTGTATGTACCATTGTTTTATCACAATGCAAGAAATATGCATACATTTATGCAGATTTTTCATTATTTAATTTCTTCAAATATAATGCAAGACTCTAACATTTTTGGCAACAGTTTGAAAAGTGAAATAGACATTTATAGTGAATCGTAGCAAAATCACAAAACAAAACCAATACTCCTTCGGGACAGAGTCTGTTTGGACTGAAAACAAAAGATATGTATAACAAGAATGTACGTTTCTTCC